GAATCATGAAATCCATTTAGTGCCTTGTTAGCAGGTTTTCTCCTCTGACTGTATCCCAAAGGATTCTAAGCACCGCACTCTCTGCCTCTATCTGAGGAAAGTCACATAACAAAAACCTGGAGTTCTCCATGCTAGTGAGGTATCTAGATATGCCCAGCATATTCAGCCAATGAATATAGACATTTCTTCTTGCAAAAGGTATTTACCCACCATCAAATAATACAGTTTGAGCAAGCGAGGACTTATGAAGAAGTGGAATTTATCTTCTAAATTTTACCTGTCATCTCATCTATCACTGCCTGCTATCCTTGATTACCACGATATCTTTAAATGCTTAACTGTTGACAGCCCCTAGTGGTAAAATTGAAGACTCCCAAACAAAATAGATCCTTAAGAGAGTGCATTATGACACCTTGTTGGGCTGCACATCTGCCTCACTACTAGGGTACTTGTAGCACTGCACACATGCTGCTCAGGGGAGGCAGAACACAGTCCACAATGGGGGTCCTCAGTGTGTATTTTCCTAGATGGGAAACAGCAGAGTCTGGGATGATTGATGTGGTTCCCAGTCTCCTATGTATCCAGATGGCCCTGGGATACTGCTGGGAGTTGAGAACATAGGTACCTGGTCTGTGCTTCCACTCGGTATCGTTATGGTCAGGCAGGAAGGGAAAGGCAGAGTCTGGGACAGGCAGAACCCGGTTTGATCGAGTGCCAACAGTACAGAGGGGCTAGGAGAGAGAAGACCTTCTCCAAGAGATTTAGGCATGGCCTCTCCCCACCCTTACTCCCTTCACCATCTCTTGGCCATCTTTGATGAAGAGGCAGTCCTTGCTTGCTCAAACTGTTTTATCTGATGGTGGGTGTAAATGCATACACCTTACTTAGGGTGAACCAGGGATTAAATACCTTTTGTGAGAAGGAATGCTCAGGAAGGGAAGCTCACTAGCTGAATATGCTGGTCCTATCTAGATACCTTACTAGCATGGAGAACTCCATGTTTTTGTTATGTGACTTTCCTGAGACAGAGGCAGAGTTTGAGGGGCTTAGAATCCTCTTGGGATAAGGTCGGAGAAGGAGAAAACCTGCCAACAAGGCAGTCTTCCATTTTGTGCTGAGCTCAGAGGCTATCTGGTCTTGGTAGACTTTATCCTTCATTTAGCAGCATGTTCCCACAATACCTCTTGCTGAAGATAAGAATTTGAACCTGTTAAGAAAGGGAATACAAGGTTTGAGATGGCACATTGATCATGGGAAGCTGACTTTTGGTGAGGTTTCAAGGACAGATTTAACTAGGGCATGTTAAGATACTTGTTATTTGTTGTAGGGAAACCCTCCAGCCTCCCTAAGCTTGAGGCTTCCACCAGGACCTGCCCTGCTTGCAACCACCCACAGACCCGTTCTTTGTTACTTCTACTACCCAACTCAGTACCCAGACTTCCCAACCTGAGGTAAACTAGGCATAAACTACAAAGCTATACATGACAGATCAGATGGAGGAGAAGACATTTTAGAAGGGGAAACCAAAAATCAAGGGAGCTGACCAAATATGCATAAGAATTAAAGACAAGAAACAAAAGAAAGAAAAATGGCATGATCATTACTCTGTGAAACACAGACTTGAAAAGAACACAGAACACAGGACTCAGGCTCCAGAAAAGATGGGAACTCTGCTTTGAGAAATGCTGAAGTAGAGCTATCAACAGAGGTAAGATGCCCAGGAGGCACTTTGGTATAGACCTGAAGGCATATACACAGACAGAGAATTAACTTTGTAAGAGGTCATTTGATATAGAGGAGCCAGTCAAGGTGACTGGGCGAGTGGGGCCAGAGGGAGCTTCCCTGGGTTGTGTTATAGTCTCTTTTGACTCATAAATTATATAAAATATAAGCTGTAATAACTAAGTCAAGGTGTAGTTAATAGTTTGTTGTGGCACCTATATATGTTTTCAGGAGAATGAGCTTGTTTGGTTCCACTCTAGAGACGAGCTAGATTTGAGCTAGATCCATGGTATAGACAAGGGAGCCCCAGAGAATTTAATAGGAGATAAACCTTACAGCGTATGAATAGAAAGTTTCAAACTCACCTTGTCTGAAGCCAAATCCGGAACTCCTTCCTATGAAATGCTGTGGAGAACTTGGAAAAAAAAAAAAACAAAGCCAAATCCCCATACCAACCCATAAACCCGATGTTACTTTTGACTGGCTCCCTTACCCATAAAACACCCTTACCCAGAGGTTTCTCTCTCTTAAGGCAAAGCCCAGCTGACTGAAAGAGCTCATGCCTTCTGAAACCCAGGCTCCACGCTTTGTGCTGGAGATGTGAAGGCACCTGTCAGAGTTTATGCTGCTGTGTAAGCCACCATGTAAGAATCTGAGATGTCTAAACAACAACCACGAGCCCAGCAGCCTATGATTTAGACAGATCTGCAAAGGTAAGAGGGAGGTACCGCATCTGAGTGTTCTCAGGTCCTGTCTAGTAACATGGCTCAGAGAGAAGACGACTGAAAACGTAAGAGAAGCCATCCAGAACTCTGGGGCATATGTGTTCTACAGCAGTCCTTAAGGAACTCATGAAGTGAGCAGATGGTATGTGATAAACAAACTTGACTGCCAGGGACCAATGAGAAGCCCAAAAGAAAGTTTGTCTGAAGTCAAAAGTTCAAGTTATGTGAACTGTTCTTCTCAGGAATGTAAACAGCCAGGCCCCCTTTCTGCATGTCGAGGAAAAGTGTGTCACCCTAAAAAGGATTTGATGACACTAAACTTGGGTACAGTGTTTTGATTCATGATGCATCATGGGCAAGGTAAGATGCCTTGATGCTTTTAGTGATCTCCAAGGTTATATGAAAGACAAGTGAAGCCTACACAGTCTATTACCTCTGCCCATCTCTCTGCCCATGGGCTTCTGTTCATATGCTCTAGGGCACAGAAGATACATGGAGTCATAACTTTGGTTTTAAAATAATCAAACTAAATAATCCGAGCTCTTGATCATCCCAAAGACTTTTTCTGTGAAGAAAAAAATTATAGTTGCAAAATGTGCAATACCTGTCAGATATGGTAGTTTTCTTCTGGGTTATCAATGTTTATTTTGCCTAAATGGTTCTATGAAGTATGGGCTGTTGAATTTCACAAATAAAAGAACTGAGGATCGGATACATGAAGTTACTCATCCAAGTCACAGAGAGCCGACGACAAGCAGGCCAGCAGTCTGACTTTACCACTGGTGCTCTTAACTAGGGCACCATTCAGTCATAGGTCAGAATTCTTATCTCTGCCAAAGAAATGGAAAACAGATGTACTCTTCTACCACTGAGAATTTCTTTTCCACCTTGAACTACTATGAGCCTTTTTCTATGTGGTATTCAAGCAGAGCGTTCAAGAACTTTTCTCTGCGTAGACACAAGTGTTATGTTAGCAGATCTATTCCTTAGCAGTGACAATAGAATCTGTTCCTTTCACCTTGGGGCATGATGACTGTGTCTGAAATGGAGCTGGCTGGAAAAATACTAACTTTTCAAAGCAGCTCTTTTAATACAAGGTTAGTTAGTACTGTCTGGAGCACAGTTTTGCTCACTTCAGACTTAATCAGGACAGAGCTAACTGATGAGGTAATTCTTAGGTAAAGTGACTGATAAGATTACAGTGTAGCATCTTTGCTCTGGAAATCCAGAGATCTCAGGTTCATGTTAGTGGATTATGTTTTCTTTGCATCATAGACAATATAACGGGTCTTTAAAAGTTCACCTTGAGCTCTGCTTGAAATAATTCAAAGCACCTGGGACCAAAGAGAATTGTTTTAGTTGATGATGTTTGTGTGAACTGAATGGCTTTTCGAACTTACTAGGTTGTAAGCAGTTTTGATAGTCATTTTGCTTTAACACATCTTTAGCAGGTGATATTCTCTGGCTTTTTTTTTATCCTTCTCCTATTGATTTTTTTCTTACATAACTTAAATTTAAAAGACTTTGAAGCATAAAGGAACTACAAAGTGTGTCTAGAAGACTGATTTTGCTGCTGACTGCAAAGTATATTGATGAAACAAATGTGTGGGAACCCATGCTGCTGCTGGTATGAGGGACCATCAGCCAAGTTCCCAGGAAAAATGCTAGCTGGCCATTTAGTTTGATCATTGTCTGGAAAAGGCAGACGGATAGAAGAAGCTAAAAATCTTCGAAATCAATGACTGGAGAGCATTTATATTGAGTTGTTACATCAACTTTTAAAGTTGTTTTTCCCTGAGATTTCCCAAACCATCTAGTTTACTTACAAGGAGACTGAGCAATTCTGATTCTGATGTAGACAGACACCAGAAGTCAGCTGTGGTTCAACTGTACAGTGAAAGTTGAGGAGGATTATATAGACAGTGGTTTGATGTCCACTGAGAAGCGCTATGCATTTGGCCCTGTGCTGATTTACATGTGTTACTTCATTTTCACTGTACTGTCAGAGCTCTGCTGTCCATGTCATTGCTGAAGAAAGTGAACATCAGAGAAGTCGCCAGAGGCTGCCTGGGTATGAGGTGGCAGGTGGAGGTTAAACTCAATTCTGCATGCTTCGCCCTTCAAACTGGCATCTGCGCCCTAGTGTCTCTTTACATAGTAAAAGGCATCCGTTCACTGTGGTGTTCTGTTCTTCCTTGCTGTCTTGAGTCCAGTGTGAACCCCCCCACACAATCCTCAGATAATCATGGCACAAAGCTGCTGGGCGTCTCCCACACTCTGAGACTTCACATGGGGTGGGGCGGGGAAGGAAGCTCTCTTTTCTTCATTACATCATCAGCCTTCTTGTTCTTCTCTTACATAGTTCTGAGGGAAAGACTTCAGCAAAATCCACCTCCCATGGCTTCTTAGCATCTTTAAAACTGCCATTTATCTTGAGAGGCGGAAGCAAGAGATTCTCTAGCATCTTCAGTGAAAGGTTATTGTTTCACTCTATTGGAGGAAAAGATACATTCCCACAAGCACCAAAGAAAACTAGCAAGGCCACGCCTCCTCTTTCACGTTTTTTTTTTTATTGCTATGTGTTCCCAATACAACAAACAGCATCAGTAGTGTACACCTTGATAAAAAGGAACTTTCAGCTTAGAAGAAATAAAAGCACATAGGTAGAAAGTGGAAGGAATATATACATCTTATGGGAGGTGTATGTGTGTGACCATCTTCAGATTCCCTGTGGACCAGATGTGTGTACACCCAAGCAAACTAGAGAGAATTTCATTCTGGTGAAGTGTTCAAAAGAGAGAGAAGAGAGAACGTTTTTAAGGCTCAGGGATGACTTAACTATCAGGAAATCACCTAACTCAACGTTTAAAATTCTTGCATGAAGTAGCAGCAATGGTTTCGAGGTATTGAGTCATAGCTTAGGCTGTTCATCTGTGATGGTTATAACACAAAAGGCCTTCCCAGGCTGTGCTTTGAAAGGATTAACACATCTCTACTTCAGTCTGCGGAATGGATTTCTAGACATGTTTAGAAAATGACTTTAAAAGCATGCTCACAACACGTTTGTCTTTAAATGCAGTTCAGGAAGTACTCATTACGTACTTAAAATATGTTTTGTTTGAAGCAGAGTCTTGCGACATGGCCCAGGCTGGCTGCATGCTCACAGTAATCCTCCTGCCTCAGCTTCTGAATGCTGGGATGACAGGTGTGCACCACCTCACCCGGCTTTAGAAACCTTTCTAATTCATTATTTATTAAACAGCTAGCTGAATTCCTGACTATTTTATGCGTCCTTGAAGGGGAACAAGTTACTCTGTATGGACTACTTTAAAAAAATGTAAAAATTTAACACAAGCTTTGCTTCTTGGGAGGTTGTGGCAAGTGGATCACAAGTTCAAGGCCTGCCTGGGCAACTTAGGGAGATCCTGTCTTGAAAGTATAAAAGGGGATAGAAATTCAGCTCAGTGATGGAGTGCTGGCTTCGTGTGTGCTAGGTCTTGGATTCAATCAAGCACTGCCAAATTTGTTCTTTTTTTTTTTTTAAAGTAAGAATCTGTTTGATTTTTGTTCTTTGAGTTGGCCGTGTGCTCAGTTTAAATTTGTCCTTTCTGCACAGAACATAGCACACAACTCTAATTATGTCTCTCTAGTTTACTAAAATGTCATTGATATTAGTGTCAATATTAAAGACATAAAAAGACTATCAAGAAAAAAATCAACTCTTAAAATAAATATCTTCAGATCTGTGTCCTATATACAAGTACTATACATCCTCTCCCTGGAGGGAGCATTTCTGGCTTTATGTGAGCATGTTGGTCACTAACAGAACTACCGCCATGGCACTGCAGTCCGATGCATTGTGACTGGGAACGTTTAGATATGAACCATGCAGAAAAATAAATATCTCAACCATGACAAAGACTCTCTTCCTTGAACTTGCTTTCAAAGCACTAATGTACTCAAGTGTTAGTTTTAGCCTGATGATACTTTTCTCAGCACTGAAAGAACACACAGAACACATCTGTGATGATCACAGTATATCAAGTACAATTGATAGCACACGAATTGATAGCATCGCCACCGATGCCCTTTGATGTGATGGCAAGAAGGTTGGGCTTTGTCTTGTACAAGCTTAGCCACTGCAGCCTGTGTGCACAGACACATGGCGACACCAATCCTGTTTCCTTTGTTGCAAGAAAGGAAGGCAGTAGATTAAATGAGTCACCTGTACATCTGCAGTGTCAACAGATAACAAACAGCAAACCCTCTTTACATTGTCAGTAGCTGTAATCCCAACTTCTTCTACCTCTTCTGCTTTGAAATCAACCCATGGAATGTCACATAAGGCAATACTCGATGACAGGCACCCTAAAACATCCAGAAATGTAAGATAGTAAACAATCACTTGAGAACATCTTAAAATAATACTGATTTCTGCAATGTACAGTATTTACATGTCAGTTGCAAATTTGCTCATACAGTATTTCTAATATAGATAAATAGGAATACAAGTCTAAGAATTATTTCCAAAATTTCTTGAAGCGTGAACCACTGGCATTTGTTTGGGTTATTCTTAACTGTAGCTTTTAAAAAAACAAACGAACAAATCAGCTGATATGCGCAATCGGCTCCAGTCTCTATTCTTCCTTAGAGAGCAACCCTTCCCGTTTCTTTTTTGTTTGTTTGTTTTGGGGAGAGATGTTCCTGGCTGTCCCAGAACTGGCGGCGGCCCTCTTGCCTTAATTTCCCAACTGCTGGCATTCTAAGGCAGAGGTCACTGCTGCTGCGACTCTTTCCTTCCGAAAACAGTCTTTGGCGCTTTCTTCCAATGGATTCTGGTAAACAAGTCGATGGGGAACAGGAGGAGGATGGAAGCAACTAAAAAGTGAACCAGCACTTCCTGTCCTTCCATGTATAGAGGACGTGAGTAAACTTTCTGTGGAGAGTACCGCTTTTTAACAAGCTGTATGCACCATGCAGGGAGGGAGGCTGTCCAGGTTTCCCTTTGACTTCTAGCTCCACTAGTCTGCTTTCTCATCTCTCTGAGGTGGTTGACCTGGTCGGATGTCTTCTGCTAATACTCTTTGCATCTTTCTTTGGTGTTCTTGTCTGGGGAGAAGCACCTATTGAATCACTGATAGCAGGAGAGGGGGCAGCAGCCACAGAGGAGGCAGAATGGAGGTGATCTGTCTTTATGGATGAGGAAGATGGTATTGATACCAGCGTCTTTCTTCCAGCCTGTTGTGCTTTCTTCCCACGGGGGAAGTCAGCAGTAGCTCGACTGCTAGCTCTGAAGGCAGCATCTGCATTGGGATTTGGCATGGAAGAGATGCTACTCAGGGATTTCTTAGCACGGGTCCCTGAGTAGTAAGGGAGAAAGGCTGTAGGCATTACTAGGGACCTAGGGAGGTCACTAGGGCCAAAGATAGCATCACTGTGGATTTCAGCAGCTTCTTGAAGGTATGGTGGTGGCAGGGTACCACTACGCTTGCTACATGACTCACAGCATAACTTGTTATACCCTGGTATGGAGCAATATCTTGCTAGCACCTCCATTTGACAGAATATGGACTTATCACCCAAACATGGCTCATCTGCAAAAACATAAAAAAAACACACATGCATAAACCTGAAAAGATCAAAGAAACAAAAAGTATTAACAAATACAAATAGGATGGATAGACTGTAATAGATAACTTTTGTTTTGATTTTTTAAGGCAGGACTCTATAGGGCTGAGATTATAAGCATGTCCCACAACACCCTGATAAACCAAGCAGCTCTGTGTTTACAACTCACTTGGCATGATCACTGTTTCACTGTCTCCAGCAGAAGCTGTCAGTTCATTGAGGGGGAACGCTATCTTTGAGACAAAACTGAGATATGTATCTGTAGGAGGAGAAAAACTGCATTCATTCTGAAGATGGTGAGAGGCATCCTTTTTAACTGTGTAATATTGAAGTTTGCCTTTCTAATAATTTGCCTCTGCAATGATTTTCAATTCACAACTAAAATGAATATTAAACACTGCTTCTGTAGCTAATTAAATCATTATAACATTTTAGCAAAGCAAACAATGGCCACTTTGACTAAAATAGAATTGTCTGGCTTGAAACCAAGTTTCATGTTGACTACTGGGCATTCTTGGGTTCTTATTAGAAAACAAAACAGCTCTATAAAATGTGTCAACTTTGTTCTAAGTAACTCATATTACATTTAATTTTATGGAACTGACAGTATGTTATGTTTATTCATATGACATATGGGGATATTTATAGAGACAAATGTGGTCCTGTACCATTTAAAAAGCAAAGTGTTATATAGCACCTATAGGCCATCATTATGTAAGAATACTCTTCAAGGTAACAAATCTGTTCCATAATGCCAAAGAACTTCTGAGAGTTCTTTTTAAGAGGGTCAGTTGTTGACATCGACAGCAGACTACTTTCTTGTTTCATGTGCTGTTCCATGTCCACATCCCAAGCTGACAGTCACGCTGTTGTGACATTTACAGGCATCAAGAAGAAGGATATCTCCCCACCATCAACACCAAAAGCTGATATTCTAATTAAACTACTTCTTGACCTGTACATAAAATTACATAGTACAATAAAACATTTATGTATACCGTACATTTAATTATTTGGATACCTTATGCTTGCTAAGGTCATAGCTAGGTGGTGCTATTGGTGACTAAGGATTTGTGAGATTTTTTTTTAACTGCAGAAATATCAGTTCTTCGCTTGGGAACTGCATTTCCTGTCTGTCTTGTCTAAAAATAAGTAAACTGTCCTGACTATGACTAAGGCTTGTAGCCTCTGCTGAGGGAGTCTTTCTCACAGACATTCTTTTTTCTCTATCATGTTAACACCATTAGCCTGCTACCGACGGGAGGATGGGCCCAGAAACATCCTCTGTGCATTAGAAAGGCTGAGATGCAACTCTTGTCTGAATGTGAGCACCTGGTCACTGCAGAGCGACTGACAGCCCAAGTCTCATTAGGTTCGAGAATATTCTGTATGGAGGAGTGAAAGATACTGAGGACAAGCTTCATCCTAATTTTGTAGGCACAGATGAGCAGGCCTTAAAGGCAAATGAATATTATAACCAAATATATTCATATACCAAAATCGATCATTAAAGTAACAGAAACTTTATAGCCTTTTCACACCCCCCTCCTACGTCATAAGAACTGTGGGAAAGGAGCTTTATGTCAGACTTCAAAAGGTCATCAAATCTGTAGTTTACGACCAAGGTCTACCCTACCTGTTTGGCTGAAACAGCATAGAAACTTGTGATGTCAGAACCCCCCAAATTGGCTTTAAACTTCGAACTCAGGACAGTAAAGCTCCCGAAACAAATATGGGCACACTAACACAATAATGCTGTCTCCTCGGCACATTGATTTTACAATGTCTCACCCACTACCACCAAAAGGAGCAGGTAGATCTGTGCTGACAGGCAGCCATGTGCACATGTTTGAGCTAACAGAATCAACAGAGCTTACCAAGAAAGTGTTTGGCTCTGACAGCAATAGTACATATGGACAAATTAATACAGCAACAGGAAGTTTTAAAGCGTCTAACTGGGCATGGTTTGCTTCTTCATTTTCCCCCTTTGTGTTCTAGATTGAAAATCACTTTCCAAAGGAAACAGCTAAATAAAGAAGTCCTATGTCTCCCCCTTGTGGCCATGTTGGTCCTTACCATTTCTCTTTCTTTTTTTTTCGTTTAAAAAATGAAATTTTATTTTAAAATTAATTTCTATAATTACTGTCTAAGAAAAATAAAATGCAGTCATAATAATAGTTACAGAAAATATCCAACATTAATTAGTGATAAAAATAAAAGTATTGGCAAATTAGGACTACAAGGGACCCAATGTAGTAATCAATATCCATAAAAGAATCTACGGCAAATATCAACTGATGGTGAAACTTTTAGAAAAATTTCACTTTTATTTATTATTTTTCATCTTATTCTATTTTTACATTTTTATTATTTAACAGTTTTAAAATTTAAATATATTTTGCTCATAATCTTTCCCTTCCCCAAGTCCTTCCAGAATCTCATCCCTAATTCAACTTTAAGTTCTTTCTCAAAGAAAAGAAAGAAACAAAACCAAATATGATAACAAAAACCTCCAAAAAAAACAAAATAAACCTCCTACAAACAAACAAAGGAAAAAATCCACCAAGTGTAACCAAATAAAAGTGTGCGTGTGTGTGTGTGTGTGTGTGTGTGTGTGTATGTGTGTGTGTGTGTATGTGTGTACGCTTTCCATGAGGCCTATCCTTTAATACTTGATTAATTTTCCCTCTTTCAGCAGGTATAAATGACAGACCCTAGTGTGTTGTGGTTTAGTCTAATGGCTTGTATTATGTTAATTGGGCTCCCAGAATTACAAGAGAATCCATGTGAAAGAAGCTGAGGGTCCCCACCCCCAGTTGGTTTTGATTGGTAAATAAAATGTCTGGGCAGAGAGACAGAGGTGGGACTTTTACCATTCCTGGGCAAGGGAGCAAGAGAGGGAGGAGGAAGGATATAGGAGGATAAACCAGATCTGAGAGGTTCAGAAGAGAGAGAGCATAACCATCATCTGCCACATGGAAGTTAGGAAGCGGCTCAGCCATTGAGCTGTTTAAGGCATATTAAGATAAATAAAAAAACCTAAACTTTTACTTTCAAAATATAACTAGTAGGGTCACTCAGAAAACTGCTTGAGTTGGAGATATGTACAAGGTGTCTATTTTGGAATCGCACTTTGTACATATGAGTAGTGATTAGAAAGGATCTTAAGGTTGAGTCACATAATTTCAGTAGTATCTCTAAGCCTGCTGTAATAATCTAACTGTAATTCTGCAAGAGTATAAAGGTAAAGAATAGGTGGTGGTGGGAAGGTAGTCCCCAACAGAAACTCACATTGAAAAACGCTACTTATGTTTGACACGGCCCCACCCAGTATCCCCCAATGCACTGGTTTAGTAAATTGGTGATGCTGGCTCTATTTCAAACAGCATTCTCAGGCTATTATTTCCAGTGGTGTCTTCCTTTGACTATTTCTTGGTAAGCTAATGCAAATTCCAGACCTTATGCTGAAAGGACTTTCTGCTCTCTGAGGTTCAACAATGTCACAGTGTTAAGAACCATTAGTGATGCTCTTACCATTACATGGAGGCAGCTGGCAGGCTCTGACGGACTCTGGCTTTTCGCCATCACAGTGGTCTCCAGTCCTACAGAGAACCTGTCTCACCTCTGTTCCTTCACCGCAGGTCACTGAACACTACAGAGACAAAGGCTGCAATTACAGATGTTGATTCTACAGAGCCAAGGAACATGCACGCTCCTACCAGGATCTCTAACCCCCACAACACACACGCCACAAACCACTTGCCAGCTCTGGAGTTCACTCTCTATGGAAGAGATGCTGCACAGAGATTCTGAAACCAGATAATCCTGGACTCATACTTTGGCTTCCTTGCCAGGTCCTAGTCGGCAGCCCCCAACTCCTTTATTTTTCTTAGAGAGAGCAGAATTTACTGACAAGAACTTTCAAACTAAGCTGAAAAACTTCTGTACTGTTGAGATAGACCAGGCTGGGAGAAACTCAGTTCTAGGTCTCTAAGGGGAATGGACATTTCTCCATATTATCCCCTGTGGACGACTGGTCCTTTCTTCTCTACCTGCTTTCTGATGTTCCAGCTTTCTATGAGCCCTCTTATTTTGAATCCTTAGAAATATCAAGGACAGGTGGTAATACAGACAATAAAACAATGATCCAGCCAGTCACCAAATACCATTTAACCCCAGGCTGTGGTTATACACTGAGAAAGCAAGGCACACTGTCATTGGACTGAGGGCAAGAAGAGACTAAGACAGGCTTCACAATTCTCTGTCCTGAGTAGGAGTCTAGAGCTACTCTGGTCCTTGTCCTTTAAAGGCAAAGGAAGCCTTGCTAAAAGGGATCACAAGGTACTGAGTAAGAAGTTTGGATTACGGTGGTGAGCCTTGGTGGAGGGAGAAGATATGGTTAGATCAGAGACAGGGAAGAACAAGTCACATGAAGGAGTATGCTTGGACAAGCATGATTTTGGAACAAGAAAGCTTACTTTACCAGCTAGAACAAGGATAGAGTAAAAGGGGTGGAGGGATGGGTACACAGGGTTACTGATGTCTAGGGTCTTCCATTCTGTAGTGAATCAGAACTTATGTGAGAGGAAGTCACTGTGATATCAGAAGATTTGGGGGGGGGGGCTTTCAGATACCTCCCTCTCACCAAACACCTAATCACAGTTTGTCCCTACCACAGTTATTAATAACCACAAATACTGTCTGAAATTATTAATTTTTTTCCTAACCCCTTCACACACTGCATGCTAACAAACACCTCACCTCATTCCAGGGCCCTGTTTTCCACTGGGCTGGGCAGGGCATTCTGTTACAGGGCCGGCGGCTCTCAGGACGGTCTCCCAGGCAGTACTTGCTGTGCACTGAGCGGTTGGTACCATCCTGGAGTGGCTGGAGGCAGCGCACGGTGCGCAGCTGATACCCAGAGCTGCCGCAGCTTCTGCTGCAGTGTTCCCATTCTTCCGCTGCCCAGCTGTGGGAGAAGAGGGAGCAGTGAAGAAGATGCCTAGGAGTTTCCCATCTTATGCACTGTATGGGGGAACAACTTTCTGACAATGACAATGGGCCCAACACTTTGCTTTTGAACAACAGAGGGATCTGGCTAGTACGCTCTTATTCATGAAATATTAACCTCACTTACCATTTCAATATTCTAGCTTTCACTCTTGTTGGACCTCAGTGAGCTGAAGAGGAAAGTCATACATGCAAGCCTTGATAGAAAGTACCTCCGTAAATGCACCTAATAAAAAGGTTTCCTCAGACTAATGTTCAAAGCTATCTCCAATGGGACATTCCCGAATCCCAATGTCACCTACAGTGGGTTAATGCTGAGTCAGCTATGATTACATTCTCTCATAAGACATGTCTCTTTAATTGAAGTCATAATTGAGGCCTTCAAAAATGAGCACAATTCTCTATTCTAAACACCGTATTTCATTTTGACAGCTAGGTCAGTCTTAAACTACGAAAATCAAAGTGTACTAAGGTATCGATACACTTCTATGTTGGGACTTTGTAGTTATATAAGGGTCAGATAATCTGTATGCCTCGAGTATTTGCCTACTGACTAAGCAGATGGAAGAGGGAAAAGACTGACAAAAAAAACTCAAGGAATACGTGGCCGATGAACGGCATGTAAGAAGGCAGACCACAGTGAAGTAGGGAGCAAGGGTGGAGGGTGGTCGTGGACAGGAGAGAATGTGAAGATGACAAAGGACTCCCTCAGATGCCTTCAGAGAGATGGGTTGGCTGATCTACCAAGAAGCATAATTCGTATAGGTTAACAACAGTGTGGTATGCATTTCAAAGCCGTGAAGATATTTATGAGTGTATACCACACAGAAGAGCCAAGTGTCTGAGTGTTTAAGTATATATTAATTACCTTGATTTTTAACATTATCAAAATATACTTGTGTACCATAAGTGTAATTACTTGCCATTAAATTATCTCTCCGAGTACACAGTATACTAGGAAAGATACTTATGATGGTCCCTTTCATCACTCGGAAGTTGCATTCTGATGACAAGGCTTTAAAGAACTTAGAAAGATGAGAAAAATATGTCCTATAGAACTGAGAATCAAAATGACCACTAATTTTCAATAGCTTGGGAATCTAGCCAAGATAGGGACATATACTTTAAGATTCTGGGAGAAAACAGAAATGTCTACCTACATGTGAATTAAGAAGGGAGAGTAGGAGCAAGACACGTCTCATAATTGTACTTTAACCTCTTAGATGCTGTTCCTAAGTATCTACAGCTAAATATATATATATATATATATATATATATATATATATATATATATATATATAAAAATTATACTTTAAGATCCTGAAGAGACTAGTACCTCTTGCAATGGATAAATGAACCAATAATAGGATGTAATTGATTCAGAATACCCAGGGAGAAAGGTGTGTGAAAGCCAGGCCGAGTCAGAACTCTAACTACTAGGATACCTGAGTATTTAATATTTAGATGTGACTGGTCTTCAAGACAAACAGTTTTACAAAGAAGGAAGCTACATTCTGCTCTTACAGCATGGCTTACCTGTTGAGACTCATGTGACATTCACCCCAGATACTACTGTCAGTAAATAAGTCCATGTTGTTAAAACCAAGAAAAAAAAGGTTAAGTGTGCTCTATAGTATCGAGGAATGCTGGATCTCTGGAAGAAACTCGACATTTAACATGTAACCTGTCACTTCCCCCGAGAGTCAATGGGTAGACGGCAACCCATAGATGAAAATGGGTAATCAAATATCAAAAGAAACAAAACAACTATAAATAGATTTGTATTTCAGGAGTTAGGAATGTAGGGAAAAGCAGGGATCATCGCTTTATATATTCCTTGCCCTTGCAACAAGACTGACTACTTAATAGGTAAATGTAAAATCTTTGAGTTGAACAGAACATTAAAGGCATTCCCATTCCCACCATGGCAGCAGGGTCACGTGATTCAGTGCTTACAGCGGGTGTATGCAATCCTGAATGTTGCACATGCGTCTGATGGGTTTCGGCTTTTTATTGACCTCACAGAAGCTGCGGTGAACCATTTTACTGTCGCTTTTCCTCCGGCATCCGTATTTTGTATACTGGAATCCTGAACCAGAAAGTAAGTTTTGTTTACTTACTAATGGCAAGCATTTGAATATTCATGAATGCACTCCTTTAATAACATCTGCGCACACATAATGTGCCAGGTACCATGATAGGTGTTACCGTTTAGAAGTGAATGGAGATGAATTTAAAATTAAAAGGCCCATTTTCTCAGAACTCACGTTTAGTAAACACTAAAACATGTTTAAGCAGTACCCGTGAACTTGCGGGTGAATGAGATAGAGTGTTCACACTGCTGTGCGAGAGTAGGTTAGGTAACCACTGTGGTGATCAAAGGTGACTAGCATGGGCCTTTACAGAGCTCAGTGATGAACTTTCTGCAGGGGTAGAAATGAACACACAGGCGAGGCCATTAGCTTAGCTGATGGGAAGGGACAAAGAAGTCTTACAGAGCAACCCCTCCTTAAGGACAACAGTGACGCTCAAACTGTTCTACATAAAGGAGATGACATGACACCCGTGCCACATACAGGGAAGAATCTGAGACAGGTTGAGTGCTTCCGGTGGGTGGAGAGCATGCGATGTCTGCTTCCGGTGGGTGGAGCGCATGCCGTGTATGAAGAGGAAGGAGGTGAGAAAGCATTAGATCTACAAAGTGGTGAGCCCCACCCAGACAAGCATTTGGATCTGGACATCAGTATTTTGATATTTGTAAAACAAATGAATCCACAGACAACAAACCCCCTTTACTAACTGAAAACTTCATAGCCCATATAAAAATTGTAAGGGAGCCGAGTATCTATATGAATTTAGATTAATCATCTCATTAACAGTCCAAATTATAGCTTGCAATACACGCATGTTTTCCAGGTTGCAGACCTCTGGATCCTTCACTCCTGAACATTTCACATTACTACAGAATAATTCGTAGACGATATTATGCAGACAATATTCAAAACCTGCCACTATCCTTGTCAAGTTCTTTCCAGTGAGGCTTTACCTCTCAGGGACCACGTGGTTCATCTAATATCCAAGTCCTCTTGGCTTCCACCAACAGGAGTAATCTCCCAAACTACATCTTTATGGCATTTACTATTCTTGAAATGTATAAGCCAGTTGTTTTGAACAGTGCTATTGAAATATACCTTGCTTAATCATCCCTAATGGTGAGACTCTGCTTATTGTAACCCTCTGACCGTGTCTTCAGGGCCACACGTTAGACCACTGAAGGATTTTAATTGAAAAAAAACAATATAATTCTAGTCATCCATTAAGTTAAAAGCATTATCATGTAAAGAAGAGAAGAAAATCAGTAAAGGAGGAATCACAATAATCTTCTCTTCCAAAACAGTGAAGGAAGCCCTGTGAGGCAGGCACAGATGCTATGCATATTAAAATGTCACTGATAACCCTGAGGACCATGTCTATGTGGAACATAGGAACAGTGAGGATCCAAATTAAATCAGTATCTTGCAATGGGGAACGAAGGGCCATTCTTAAAAGTGCCAAATATCTTATGCCCTTTCCGGAAACACCGTAGAAATACAGTCTGAACATTAATTAAATTTGATTTACCCACAATTCTCTACTATAATTTTTTTGTTTTATTATTCAGTACTTAATTAGATAGTGGTTACTGTAACTATTCTGCTTGTAGGGGCGAATTCTGTCATTGCCTGTTTAATACTAGAGTATCCGTTGTGCAGAACTACACAAACAGATTGATAAAAATGGGGTCCATCTCGTGGATATGGTCTGGGAAAACGAGAGAAGAAATTCAGTACAGCAAGGCAGCATGGTACTCAGCTAAGTTGGTCTGAGTCCTATGTTTTTGGAAGAACTACTTATCATCCCTGTTTAAATTTCACCATCAGTATAATAAAGATTAAAAACAGTACTGATATTGTAGAGCCATTGTATGGACACACAGATATATGAAGCATTCAGTATAGCAGTAGCATCAAAAACACAGCATAATTAAGTACATATAGGATGTTATTAACTGTGCTCTTGCTAGCACAAACAGAAAAGATGTCCATACACATGGAAAGCAAAATGGAGAAGAGGCAGGAGCCTCAGTAAATGGGAATGGAGGAAGTTTTAGATTTTGGGAAAAGCGATTAAGGTGCTACTGTGTTGGGGTTGGCCTGGTGCTGCTGTGTATTCAAATGCTGAATACTGCCCCCCAAGATCTGCTTATAGTCCCATGAGCGCATTCTCATATACAACAAATAATGATGTTAAAGGTTGGTCGCCAATCTTCTCTGACCGGTTAAATAAAGGAGCTCCAGGCAATGACTGGGGAGAATAGAGGTAGGCAGGGCTTTGATTACCAGGCTGAGGGTCGCAGGTAGGAACCACTAGGAAGGAGGAGGAGAAGGAAGACAGGCAAGGAGGAGGCTGCCATGAAAGGAGGTGGACCATGGGCATGTGGCCAGGAGAAGTGCATCCTGAACACAGGCTGGTGGACCAAAAGGCAACCCGGGAGATACTCAAACAGCAAGTACTTGGGGAGCCCAGCTGAGAATTAGCCAGTCTAGCATAAAAAATAGATTAAGAATAATTTGTCCAGTAATCATGCTAAAGCAAAATAAATAAATCTAATGGGACTCGGTCTCCATTATTGGGGGGCTGATGGGGTCATATTAAGAACTATTGAGTTAATTAGTAACTTTTAAAGCAACACTACTGTATTGAACACAAGACATGAACGTTAGAGAAGAGAGTACGGGGATCTTAGGTCCTCCATTGGTTTAAGTAAGTGGTTCTCAACATGTGGGTCATGACCTCTTGTGTGTGTGTGTGTGGGGGGGGTCAAACGACCCTTTCATGGAGGTTGTCTCTGAGCTCAGAAACACAGATGTTTACATAATAACTGTAGCAAAATTGCATTTGTGAAGTCCCAATACAGAATGATAAACTGCTTTGAAAATGAATACAGCTGTTACCTCCACCACAGGGTTTGGAGCACTGAGACCAGCTCTTCAATGCCCACTCGAAGGTATCCAGCTCCTCCTGGATGACGTTGTTGCTGTTGATCGTCGGCACCGAGTCTTCATGGATGATGTACTTATACGTCAGGCTCGAGTGCGTGTCATTCTCCTGAGGTATGATCTAACACATGTGTGAGATATGTAATTAGTACATAAACAACAGGTGGCTTCACCGTGACCTTACGCATCTCAGCATATCGACACTTTCAAAGCTGGATACGTTTAAGGTAGTTCTTAGAATGCTCTGGTTCCCACCAGCTCACGTGGTTGAGTGCAATATTAAAGGAAAAATACAAACATAGAAAACTTGGAATAGAGTGATATAAGATACACGCTGAAGAGTAAAAATGTATATTATCAAAATAACTGTTATTTTCTATCAGTTACCTTAAACTGTACCGTCTCTACAGTGTATTTTAAAGTTCTTTATAATATGCTGCTTTATTATAATGACTACGTTCCTTCCAGAAAAAAAAAATTTGGAAGAAGATATAGAAACAACAACAAGAAGACCATTCATGACTCTATAGAACAAGAGAAAAGTCAAACTAGCTCTTATTATGTTGAGATATTCCTTCAAGAGAGTGTCATCATGTCTCTCTGTATGAACACAAACAGTATAAATCAATGAATATTTGTACCTTTATGGAGACTTCAGGATTTTCTCAGAACTCTCAAGGCTTCTGTACCCTTTAACTTTTAAAAACTCCATTCTTCACTACATATAATTTTCCTTCTATTAATTAATTGGGTGAGAAAAAGACCATCTATGTGTATAGTTCCCTAATTTAAGATTTTCTTGTTCCTTGTCAATTGTGCATTAATTGTACAATGACACTTGTACAATTGTTGGCCACCCTCCCTCTCTTCATAAAGCAATACTTTTTTCTTCCTTCAGTCATTATGCTGTTTTCCACATGTCCAAGACTGGGTTCTAAAAGCTCGTGACTTCTGACTTGGTCATGCTGGCTCTGTTTCTCTGCTCACTTTCAGGGAATTCTTCACCAGATACTATAAATGCTTAAAGAGTTTCCAGAGAGCCTCATGTAGTAAGGGAAAAAGGCCAGCCAGCTGCTACAGGGGCAAGGTCAGCATGATAGCTGAGGTCTTTCAACAACCCTAGGACTGGGCTGGAAAGTAAGAGCAGCCACTATACACAAGCCTCATGAGAGTCACAGTGTCCCAATGGTCTGGGAAACTACTTTCAGATATACCATCCACAGACACTACAGAACATGCTTTTGTTTATCTACTGTTTCGAGGGAACTTTTCATGCAGTATCAGAAAATGAATTTTGACATATATGTGCAAAAATATCTTAGTTTATACAAAAAATGAGTGTAAAGGATTCATAAACCTAAAGGAAATGTAAAACCTTCAGAAGATAAATGTTCTGATGTTGCGCAAAACATTATTTCATGACACTTGTTGGGGAGTGGTCTGGGGATGCTAGGTATTCAAATGCTAAATACTGTCCCCAAGGTCTTGTCTCCCCTATGAGTACATCCTCACATACACCAAGCGATGCTATATAAATTGCTCCCCAATTTAAAACTATTGATTAAATAAAGATGGATTCTTCCAATTACTGGGGAAAACAGAGGTAGGGAGGGTTTCAGTTACTGGGCTGGGGGTTTGCAGTTAGGGACCATGAGAGGAGGGACAGAGGGAGAAAGGTGGAGAGAAGAAGAAAGAGTAGGAGAGAAAAGGAGATCTCCATTAGATGTGATGCACCAGGAATGCATGGCCGACTGAAATGCCCCCTGAGGACAGGATGATGGAGCAGAAGTAACCCAGGCAAGACTCATGGGTACAGTGGCAATTCTGGGCAGCCTGGGATAACCCGCTGCAACCTAGGGATGGGAGATAGCTGCTGGAATCAGTCATAGAAGACTGAAATGGATACATTGAGATCCCATCCATACAAATCAAAATGGCTATCATCAAGATAAAAAAGGCTAACAGATACTGGTGAGTATATGGAAAACTTTGTACACCATGGTTCATCACTTTGCAGAAAAAAAAAAATATATATATATATTTAGTAATCTGTTAAACTCCACCTCCACAGTTACCTGGCACCTGGCAGGTAGCCCTGCCCACTATAAAAGGGGCTGCTTGCCCCTCCTCTCTCTTGCTCCATTGACCTTCCCCTGCAGGTTGCCGTCTCCCCTCCCCCCTTCCCTTCCTCCTCTCTCCATGTGGTCATGGCTGGCCTCCATTTTTCTACTCCTCTCTCTCTCCTCTCTCTCTCCCACTCTCTTAATAAACCTCTCCTTGTGGAACTGTCTAGTCTGCTGTGATCTGTCTCAAGCTGCGTGTTAAAACCATATATATATGCATGCCATATGTCCCAGGTATACTACCCTTGTGTATATACTGAAATGAATCTAAACACCACAGCGATACCTGCATATCCATGTTTACTGCAGTATTATACATAGTATTAAACTAACCTAGATGTCAATCAACAAATGACCAGGGAAAGAAACCATGATACATATGAAATTGGGGTTTTACCCAGCCATAAAGAACAAACTTACATTTTCAGAAAACTGTGTAGAAGTGAGCATGTTCGGCGAAGTAGGGCAGCCTCAGAAAAGAAATGTTGCATACGTGTTTCTCACATGCAGGGAAATTATTATATGTGTGAATGACATGGAAGTAGAGGGGAAAGATGAGGAGTGATGTTTCCAGAGGGTAGGGGGAACAAGATAGTGTGCACGGTGGGGAAAGGACATCAAATACAGCATGTCTAATCTTCAAATAAACTTATTATCTGTAATGTGAACGCAGAGAGCAGACTATAGCAGGAAGGGGCCAGCTGTAGGAAAAAGCGCGTAAGGGTAGAGGGGGTGGATACGAGCAAAACACATTGGCATATAAAATCATAATGAAACTGATTCTTTCTCACATTAATTAAAACTAGTACTATAAAATCCTTAAAAAGTAGCTCCAGAAAACCGGCACACCGCATTCAGAGACTTCTCACACAAATGTGACTCTCATCATAAATAATGAAGTCCAGTACACAACTGTTCTGCCACTGCAGGAAACACACTTCCTGTTTATGAACCCCTTAGTCACATACATCTTCAGAGGAGTAGAGGACCTGAGAACTCCAAAGCTTTCTAACACTTTGGTCAGCTTTTATACTTTTAATAGTTTCATTTGTAGCTGAAACAAAACCTTCAGAAGTTCTAGAAGAACTCTTCACAAGGTTTGAACATTATTGCTCATTTGTTTCCGACTCTCTTTCTGCAATTATGTTACATTTTTTTAGACTGTTCAGTCTCACATAGAGGCTGCCTGCTCCCTATACTTTATGAAACAGCACCCTCTATCGGCTGGGTCTGCACAGGACCCATGGCTACAAGGAACCCTCCACTGCTCCCTGGAAGAGTTCTTAAGAGCAGATTCCCCAGGGACTGCTAAGTGTGTCTCCTAGACAGACAGACCCCCTCCTCAGGACTGTGACCATACTTAGAAAAATCCACCAAATGAGCTCAAGTGTGCTTCCACTGCAGGTGGCCAGATCTTCTCACTGATAATCTCTCAACTCCCTAATGGATACTTCTCTAATAATTAACATAATCTGCATATCAACAATGACTTCTTTACACTGTATCTCTTCAAAGTTGCCAATACACTGACTAAATAACCTAAATAACAGATTTTCAAGCCACTGGCTTTTCTGGCTAAATTCTCGTGTTCTCTGGTACATTTCTCAGACCACATTTCTTGCTTTTATAGGTAAAAAAACTACTGATACAGAATTCATGATTCTAGGTATTCACTGTATATTATAAACAACATGTTTATGTAACAAGTATAAAGATAAAGACATCTCTAAGTCAAACTACGAAACTGGTAATACCCCAATTCTACACTTCTTGCAGATATCCTTCCAAAAGACATCTGGCACTTTGAATAATTTGAAAATGCCAAGAGAACTCATTGATAATATACTTATACCCCAAATACTGCCAAAGGAAGTTCACCATACAGAAGGCAAATAAGAGTGTATTAAAAGGTACATCAAAAATGCTAAGCTCATGACAATAAGAACCTACCTTTTGTTTCTGTTGCCTTTACTTTGTCTTTCAAGAACAATGTCATACTAGTTAAAATGTATGAGAATGTTTCACACAGACAGGGAGAAGTAAATAGAATTACAAAAAGAAACAAGGAAATGTCCAGTCAGATATTTTAGCTAAGCGTGTTTTCAGGTAAGTTAAATTATAAACAAAACCAACCATGTAACATGCTGCATGGCACATACCAGAACAATAACAGGGTCATGGAGTGGCCCATCCGTGTGGAGGGTTTCAATGTCATCTTCAATGTTGTAATCCCACTCCACACCAAGATCTATGAAGGTCCGTGACTTGGCTTCTTCCCCTTTGCCATTTAAGATGTAGTGACCTGTGGCTTGGTTCTTAATGGCTAAATGACAGGGAACGAGTGATGGGAATACATTTATCATATGGCAATGTTCATGACGCACAGAAAGTCTCCCCTGTTTTATTAGTAGAGACCAGTGGCTTCCTTATTAGTATCAAGCAGTCAGGATGAATGTTAGTTTCAATTGTTCCCCATTCTCTTCATTAGGCATTTAAACCACCGAGAAGCATTCCTACTGAGTTAAATAGATTAAATGGGCAGAAAATAATGTTTGCAAATATTTCCATTTTGGAAACATTGTCAAAGATATTAGAAGATTCTGACTCACTCATCCCATGTTTTCCTGGAAGGTGGGGCCACTTTGGATATAACAGATACTTTGTTAATACAGTATCTCATTAAAGATTGATACATATTGATTTGATAGCCACCCTAAAGAGCTGAACTGGTTTCCAGGCCAATAATTTTTCTGATGATAGTAAAATTGCCAGACCACTCAGAAATTGATATTGTTAGAAAAGGATGTTTATTATTAATAGATCTTAATGCATTACAGATCTACTGTTATTATATAATACTCTTCTAGTGGGAAAAATAATAGGTTATATTTACACATTGGAATTGTCTATCAGTAAGTGAGAAAACATTTCACATTTCTAACATCACTAAAAACATATTTAGTTAAAACTACTTGTTTTATATTTATTTCGCTTAAGCTTTTAAGATAATTATTTCAAGAATAATCTGAATTCTAGAGTGAAGAATAGGATTGTAAAACTATCAAAAAGAACTATGAGCATGCTGGTCGTTTATGCCATCTAACAATAAATATAATTTAAATAGCTCTAGAACCACGAAAACATGGGAATGAAAACCATTTTGCTACAAAATTTCATAGAGCTGGTGGCTAACTTTCTTAGTGTGTGAACAGAGTGCCCAGGACTTAGCATAACAGTCATGATTACACTTTTGAATATATTTTTAAAAAATTGCCAATAGTATTGGGAATTCTACATTATTCTCCCATATGATAGAAAAAGAATCTGTTTTGCATTTGTCTGTGCTAATCAAAAATTGACAACTACTAGATAGCAGAAAAAATTCACATTGGAATTTCAAAATTTTTCTGTGGCAGCTTTAAACCTATCCATTTGCCATTTTCAACAAATTATCCATCAGCCGTCTTCAACATAAAAGCAATGATTTTCTATTAACTTCCTTTAATGTGATACATTGTATTTTTAGCATCTCCTAATTCAGAGCAAAATATGATTAATAAATATAAATTTGTAAAGTTGTTTTCTCAGGAGTTATGAAGCAATTCCCTTTTCTACCAAAAGAATTTGAAGTTTCAGTTTTAAACATTTGTTTTAATGCAAAGATAGTTGAGACAACTCAATAAACTTAACACAATATTTAATTAATGACTTTGTATGCAGTCCTCATCCTCGTATACATATGTATGAATAGTACACACACACATATATATATACACACATCTATATGTATATTATATATATTAAGAGTACTTATGTACATACATATACTCCATATGTAGTGTCTTTGACATTTAATGTTGAAGTGCACAGAGAGGCAGTGCCAGCATACAGAAACACTTACCAAGAACATGAGGAGAAGCCTCGTCTTCTTGGATTAACACATGTCTAGCCCCAGGGGGTATATCAAACATCTTAAGGTACCCTTAGCATGTGTAGTGAATGTTGGAGGGAGCAAAGAAAACAAAAGCAACACTATGGTTAGTCCAGCACTGCATCCTTAACCTGCTCCTGTATGCAGAAGAGGGCATCCATAAATGGAAAGGAGCATCTCAGAAACTAACCTCACAGCTTGGAGACCTCTTGCAGGAGGAAAATTCATAGGTTGTGCTGACCTATGAATTGCATCAATAATTCAGGCAAACAGTTTTGATTTCCTGAGTCTCCCTGTGTGGTTTTAGTTTTCATAACTAATTTTACAGTGGTGTTGAGTGTTCATAGAAGTTGTTAGGTGGTGAACTGGGAATATTCCTTCTGCCTATATATTGTTATAAAAAGCTTCTATATATTGAAGTGTTTTAAAACTTAGACATCGACTTTAAAGAAATACTTACAAAAGGAAGACTGTATTCTATATTGCTTTTACAAATACTTCAACCTCAGTCTTCTAAACCAGGAAATATAAATTAATAGCCTTAAATTGACTATTGAAACTTAGTATTATCATAGGCCCTATAATTATATTAAAAATCACTTACAGTCCTATCCATAACTATAAATAAACAATAGAACAAATTGAGAGGCAGAGATGCTATATCTCATGTTCAGTAAAACATATGAGTCAGGTCCAGGTGAGGCAATGCCTGTCTATAATCCAGCATTTTTTGAAGCTGAGTAAGGATAATCTTGAGTTTGAAATCCTCTGTTTAAGAAGATGCTATCTCTAATAAAAACGAGTATAGGAAATTATGAAATCTAAACCTTAGTATATTATGGAGTACCTAGTTCATATGATCCAGGACATATGTACAAAGGAATCTAGATAGAAATATATAATTGCTGATGGAATAAAAAAAAGTTAGTCATTTGCATATGTATAGTTAATATTTAGCTATAGATAGACTTACCCAACTCTTACATAATATTTATTAGGGTCCAAAGTAAAGGTAAATGTTTCCTAGGACCAGGGTTTTCAGCATTTTAACCTGAGTTACAGCCCAACACAGGAGCTGAACTGTTTGCCTGAGTGAGCACTGGCTAAAAGCAGCATGCTGAAGATGCCACAGAGCGCACATCAGTGTGCGGTCATTTATGGATGCCCATCTTTCTGCAGTGTGCTACAACTTACCCAGTACATTTTTAGTTTCTCTTGTTTCAGCAAGAGAAATATTACGAGCTCCTTTGGGTAAAACGAATGCGCCTCTCGTCTTCCCTTAAATAGAATGTCATTAATTAGTGGAGGTTTCATGTTTATCAAAGTCTTGCTGTTTCATTGACTACCCCATAAGCCATTACAAGTATAATTGGGCAAGATATAAAATGTTCTGAAAATCTAAAAGTGTTCAAGTCAAAATGCGTTTACAGTAGTTAGCAAGTGCTGGTAAACTGTTAATAGTCAATGAAAGTAAGACTGAGCATAAATGCAGAATGATGGAGGTGATTTGAAGGTGGATACTTGCAGATTTCATTTTCCAGAAACGTGAGTTCCTTATGGCATCTCTTGCTTAAATGTTTGCCTGTTGGAAAAGGTTAGTTAGTCTATTGCATGACCATGACGACATTCACGAAAAGAAATGGAGGCTAGGTTATCTCTGACCACTTTGAATCTGAGTGACTCGGGGGGATATGTCACACATTCTTGTGACCTTGATTCTTGCTTAGCATGATTTTTTTTGAGGTGGTCTGAAAAACAGTATTGTGTCTTTATATTATAATATATTATTATATTATAGTATTGTATCTTATATTATTTATAAGATGAGGAAAGAATTTTCACAGTAAAAGAAGAGGCTTCCTTATATTAATTCATCCTGAAAATAAAACCAATTATTCTACACACCAAATAGAAAAATAAATGTGGCTTCATTAAAGCAAGTATATTTCACCCTCTCATTGTAATGCAGAGAAAAGTATAGTTGATGGTAAGAAAGTGTAATATTTGAACTTCAGTTCTGTTTTCTTTGTTAAAATAATATAAACATCCAGCCAGAAGTGGCATTATTTGCTTCTGAATAAATTTCAAAGTAAAAACCATGGTAATTCATCATGAAAGAATAGCAAAGATGTTAAGGATCAAGGACCATATTTGAAAAGTGGCTACCTAGATCTGACATCCAAAACACATCACAGAATTAATCTCATATTAAAATTTCCTAAAGTCAGGTAGCCAGGGTATAATTTAGATAAAATAGGACAGCGAGGATTGCTCCATTTAGATGAAGGCTAATATATCATTTTTATACATTGCTTTATAACTTATAATTGTTTAAAGTAAACCAATTTTAAATGATTTGTTTATTTTATGCACATGGATGTTTTGCCTCCATGCATGTCTGTGTACCACCTTGAGTGTCTGGGACCTGCAGAGGTGAGAAGAGTTCACCAGAGCTCCTGAGACTGGAGTTACAGATGGTCGTGAGCCACTATGTGAGTGCTGGGAACAGAGCTGGGCTCCTCTGGAAGAGCAGCCAGCGCTGTCAATCTGTGATGCAATCTGTGATGCAATCCCTAGCCCCAAACCAAATTTCTTTGTGTTCTCTCATCTTGTCAGACACTATGTTGATAATGTCAAAGGATATTCAAGAGAATCTTCATGACAACATCCTGCCAAATTTACCTTTAGCTGCTAAATTTCATAAAACATTTTCCCAATAAACCCTCATCAAATAGATGACTATTTGTTATACCATATAAACGTTTGTATGCACATATTGTGGAAATTCTTATATAATTTATGCAACTACGAATATTTTTACCTATTATCTATTGCATGAAGATAGCTTTCTAGTACAAATTTTGGTCCCTTGATGTATATAGAACTTGAGGTTCATAGGTGTGAGCGTACAACGTATCACATACAAGCAATCATATCTCAGATGATTTTTTGATTGTATCTCTTATTTTTTCTTTGCATTCTCTATACAATATATCTCTATTGTGTTTAAAATAAACATTACAGATTATACTTTATGAATACTAGATCCATAAATATACAAAATAAAATTGTCCACTTTTAAATTAGATAAGTGAAAATGTTACATGTTCAAAGTTATATTCAAAGTCTTATAATATTTTATATTTCCAGACAATAAGTTATATTGCCACATATATTTAAAATTAACCTTTAGTCCCATACACATTTGATTAAATTCAAAATAACATATAACGCAGATTTGTTTCCCCTAAGCACTAAACTACTACAGTGTCCCTTATATTAAGTAGTTGTTTTCCTCAGGGATGCTATGAAATATGAATTAATAAGTTATTATTGTTTAAACTACTTTTTAAAAACTATCTGTTAATTTCTATGATACACGTTGATAAAAAATAATCCTCAAATTCTAAAAGATGTCTCAAAATGACAAACATCAGAAAAGGGTCTCAATTCAGGAGAACACTCATCTTACCAAGTTTCCTGGGTGTTCTGGTAAACGTTCCCTTCACAGTTCGACAGTGGGAATTGTCCCCTCCACAGACCCCACACTTATCCTCAACCTTGTTGGACCCGATTTCTTTATCACAGCCCACTTTCTGTGGAGAGAAGAAGTAGGTTGATCCTGGGTAGAAAAAACGACAAGTCAAGAGCATGGTGTTCTCTCGTGTGATTCACATATTCATCAAGGCATATGGCCATGTGTCAAGCTGTAAAATGGTGTTATCTTTTAAAGGTTAGTGGAGATGTGAAGTAAAGTTCCCCCCAAGATACAAGAGACTCTCACAAAACCCCGAACGAACAAATTTAAAAGACATTTTAGAAGTGGGAAAAGTTCAAACAATTATGAAACTTTACATTCACAGAAAGAAGGGTAAGAGATCAATAGCGTACACAGCCGGAAGCCAGGTGGACTGAGCACAACAGGGAAGGGCTGTGAATGCTTAGCATGGGCGAGGCCCTGGTCAGGTGAGATGACATTTTAACAGTCAATAGACAACAACTGAAGGCTTTCTGGACTTGCTAGGACTTTTAAGTAAGTGTGGTACATGACAGGTGATTGTACTTACAAGTTTGATATAATTATGGGGACACACATTTAGTACTAAGTGCTGAAGGGATTAAAAATGATGACAAGCACATTTGACTATCACCATTCATATCTCTTCTTAAGCATTTTATGTTGGAAACTTAATCCCCAATTCAAAAGTAGTGGGAGTCAGGGCTTGGTAAAAAGCAGGAAGCCAGGTGTGGGCTGACAGGTGGGTGCTGACATGTGTGGGCTGACAGCTGTCTAATCTCAACACTCCGAAGGCTGAGGCAGGAGGATCACAATAAGTTTGGAACCAGTCTGGGCTACAGAGTGAGCCCAGAGTAATCTCAAAACAAGACAAACTAAACAAAAAGCTGTCATGATTAGATCATGAGGCTTCTCCTTTCACGAAGGAATTTTTAATGTTCTTATCACAGAGATGGGATAGTTACCAAGAGACTCTGGTGATTTCCCCAGAAGTTCTTTTATTGTTGATTATAGTTTTCACTATACTGGTGTTTTTGTTATTCCAAATGAATTTGCAAATTGCTCTTCTATCTCTATGAAGAATTGAGTTGGAATTTTGATGGGGATTGCACTGAATCTGTTGATTGCTTTCGGCAAGATGGCCATTTTTACTATATTAATCCTGGCAGTCCATGAGCATGGGAAATCTTTCCATCTTCTGAGATCTTCGATTTCTTTCTTCAGAGACTTGAATTTCTTGTCATACAGATCTTTCACTTGCTTGGTTAGATTCACAGCAAAGTATTTTATATTATTTGTGACTATTGTGAAGGATGTTGTTTCCCTAATTACTTTCTCAGCCCGTTTATCCTTTGAGTAGAGGAATGCTACTGATTTGTTTGAATTAATTTTATATCTAGCCACTTCGCTGAAGTTGTTTATCAGATTTAGGAGTTCTCTAAATTTTGGGATCACTTAAGTATACTATCGTATCATCTGCAAATAGTGATGCAGATCTGCAAATACCTAAATATAGTAAAAGCAATATACAGCAAGCCAGTAGCTAACATCAAACTAAATGGAGAGGAACTTGAAGCAATCCCACTAAAATCAGGGACTAGACAAGGCTGCCCACTCTCCCCCTACTTATTCAATATAGTACTGGAAGTCCCTGATTAGACAACAAAAGGATACAAATAGGAAAGTGTGGGTGCTTTAGTCCTTCTTAGAAGGAGTAACAAGATACTCACAGGAACAAATATGGAGACAAAGTGTGAGACAGAACCTGAAGGAGGGGCTGTTCAGAGACTGTTCCACCTGGGTATCCATTCTATGTGCAGTCACCAAAGGCAGACACTGATGTGGATGCCAGGAAGTGCATGCTGACAGGACCCTAATATAGCTATATCCTTAGACGTCTGCTAGAGGCTGACATATACAGAAGTGGATGCTCACAGCTAACCACTGAACTGATCAAGGGGTTCCCAATGGAGGAGTTAGAAGTCTAAAGGAGCTGAAAGTGTTTGTGGCCCCATTGGGAAGAGCAACAATACCAACCAACCAGAGCTCCCACGTTCTAAACCACCAGCCAAGAGCACATAGGGAGAGACCCATGGCTCCAGCTGTATATGTAGAGGAGGATGGCCTTGTTGGGCATAGGTGGAAAGGAGGTCCTTGGTCCTGTGAAGGCTGGATGCCGCAGTGTGGGGGAATTTGTGGACAGGGATGTGGGTGTGGTTGGGTGGGTGGGAGCACATCCCCATAGAAGCAGGAGTAGGGGGAATGGGATGAGATAGTGGGTTTCTGGGTGTGGTGGGGGGAGGGGATAACATCTGAAATGTAAATAAAATATCCAATAAAAATTTCATTTCAATAAAAAAGTGATTGCTTCTTCCTATCTTCAGTTCCTAATTCTCTTTCCCTTCTACCATGGATGACTCCATTATCATATTTTGTCTTTCCTGACCCAGAACCATCAGCCAAAGCACCTAAACTCATTTAGCATGAGCTTTGCTTTCTTTTGGTTTTATAAATTACCCAGCCTATGGTATTCTGTTATAGCAACACAACAGCATGCTGTAGTTTTACTAGGTGGAAGGAAATGGATGTTCACCACACTGTTCCAGTTAATGTGGACGCTTACAGTAACAGCTACGTATGAACAGGAAACAAAGTGCATTGTACAAAGACTAAATGAGACAAAGCTTTTCCGTTGCCTACATGTTGGGCCTGACATAGAGTTGAGCATTTAAGTATAGAACCATTGGGAAGATACGGTAAAAAGAAAGATTTTTGTATTAACCTTTGCTTAGGATTGGATTTCTATGAAAATAATATTTAAACTAAAATGTAATACACATACATGTATTGAAGGATCTTAAATATAGTTATTTTATAATGGGGAAATCAGACACCAAATAAGCTGGGGGATGCTGGAGGTGTTGGGGGATGCTGGGGGATGCTGGGAGGTGTTGGGGGATGGTGGGGGATGCTGTGGGATGCTGTGGAGGCAGCAGTTTTAACTCACCACACACTCTCCTCGTACACATATGCTGTAGGGATCTTTGTAAGAGCAGCGCGTTCCGTCATGCACTAGTTGTTTCATGTAAGCAACATCCCCAGTCTCTTTGGACTGACAGTAAAGATGGCATCTTTTCTTGGCTGCATAAGAGGCAGGCTTAAATTAATAATTTTTATAAAATAGGATGTTTGACCAGCATAGTTAACTTTAAGATATATAACCTTTCAATATGGGTTCCTGAAAAGCAAATAAGACACCGGATGAATACAATAGGGAGAGGATGAAAAGCGCAGATATACTACCATGCATATTTGTATCAATGTGAATGACTGGTTATTTTATGTCATCTAAAGTAGACCATTATTGGGATAATAAGGGATGTTAACTTGGGAGGGATATCAGTCAGATGTAGACTGAGACTGCCCCAGGCAGGTTAGGCTGGCAAACCCTGATGTCAGCTATATTAGCTTTTTAGTAAACTCTGACTCAAGGCCATTTTCACCTTAATAATATTCTAAACACTGACTGCCTTAGTCTTTGGTCTCACCCTATCATTCAGCTGATACCTGTGCCCTTTGTAGCATCTGCATAATTGATAATCTACATGACTCACCTCACTGAAGCAAATTTAAGAATGATGCATTTATTCTAAAGTGTTCAACTTTGACCTATCCATGCCTGCATTTCCTTTAAGAGAACACTCACTTGAATTCAGTGGTATATACACACTGACCAGCCACAGAGATAAGAGATTTCATTTTGAGCCCATCTAACCCATAATTTAACTGGAGGAAGTCAAGCATTAAAAAAATATTTCCAGGAGTATAACTACCTTAGACAAGGCTATGAAGTCTTTAATAAATGAGCACCTTATTTTTCCTTTTCTGTTTTCATCCTGACTTGGCTATGTTGTTATTATTTCTTAGTTGAGAATTTCAGTTGAATCAGGTGAGTCAATGTCATTTCCTATGGGGGTGGTAACATGGCTATTTGCCAGATATCATTCATGTCTGTCACAATACCTACCTCTCAGGAGAAAGGCACTCTTTAGACTGAATCTTGGGAACCTGGAATGCCTGGCCTTTGTAAGTACCCGGCTTCTCATGTTACCACACAGGCAGGATTCAAGAGTGCAAGGCCTTGGTATCGGCAAGGCGTAAACACTAAGTGACCATCCACACAGCAGGCAAAAGAATGGTATGCACTCACAGTCAGGATGTTCATGCGGCAGCCAGTGGTGTTTGGTATTCTGGTAGTCAAAGTGTGAGTTACGCTGTTGGCACTGCTGGGCCCTGAAGTCCTCAAAGTGCTTTTGGCATTCTTCTGTGTTACAAAGCTGGTACTCAAAATTAACACCAGGGCAGTCCTGCCCACCATTGATGGGCCTAGAGAAAAGACAACGTTTCAAAGGGTGCCTGGCATCAGCCCAGCAGCTCAGGCCCACAGAAGCAGTAGTGCTGGGCAGAGAGCCAAGTGTCTCAGCTGCTAGCACAGGCTGAATGATGCCAATGTCTGGGGTCTCTCTAAATGTACCCTTCTCTCTGTGCTGAGGGGGAAAGACCCCCACATGCAACCTAACTTAGTCCTCAGTTTGCTTTATGCATGAAAGATGAAAACCATGCAAGTGAACTCAAGAAAATGATATTTCCACCCACATGTGACACATGTGGGTGGAACTCGAAGAAAAGCCGATCCTATCATTCCTTGTCTCTGCTTCCTCCCTGCGTCAAATGCGAAATGGAATGATTTTCCCAATAAGAAAATGGTAAGAATTTGATGGCATGATATTTTAATAGACTAGATGATGGTTTATGGTGAATGTGTAACTCTTACTGCCATGCTTTGGAGTGTGACTGTTACTTTTAAGGCTGCTTGTGAAGACAGTGTGCAGCCATCTGTAGTCTTTATACAAGTCACGCACAGAGCCATCATTCTGCAGGCATGGAGAAAGGGCTGCCTGCAGGTTAAACCCCAGCATATCCAAGCTGAATAACTGCATCACTTTTTCTAGGCTCGCATGAATTTTATCTGGTTGAGCGGATGGATGTCTTTTCTTCCCAGAGTCCCTGCCAGACTGCCCCCATCTTTCTGTATTTCTGCACTGAAGCAGCTGGACAGACCTTCTGGAACTCAGCTAAAGTTACTGGTACTTCCGCCCAATGCCTCTCTGCTTCTTCGTGGACACATCACACTTACAGGACACAAAGTATCTACTCCTTCTGGTCAACTCCCTAATAGTTTCTTACATCAAATTCTTCAAAAAAAAAAAAAGGGCTTCATTTGTATGCCTCTTGCTCATCACAGCCTACTCTCAGCCGCTTTGGCGGTGAGGTAAGCAGTCCTTTTCCTATCCTCTGTTTCGAGAGTGGGATGAAAAAAGAAGAAAACACTACTAACGACAGTGAAACATTGTCTGGTGTATCAAACAGGAATTACAACAGGTGCAACAGGAATTACCGGGTCATACTCACGTGGGATTATTGCACTGGCGTGTCCTAAAACGAACACCAGTTCCACACGTCCTAGAACAGGAGCCAAATTTGGTCCATGACCCCCAGTTGCCATCTTGCTTTTGCTGGTTAGCATTTTTCCACATGCAGTGTCCTTTATAGCACCACTTAGGGAAACGAGAGAAGATAACCGTGAGAGTTGTTAAAGGCGTTATTCAGGAACCGCTTATTGGAAGGTCTTCAACTCTTACCCTCCCTACAGTTAAATACGGATTTAAAGCATCCATAGGCATTTGCTACACGAAGCTTTCCTATCAGAAGGATAACTTAGATCCATCATTTTAAAAATACAACTCAAAAGCTAAGTTTGGGGCTGGTTAAGAGTGCTCTCTGCTCTCTGGCAGATGGCTTGAGTCCTGTTTCCATCACCCACATTGGGTGGCTCACAACCGTCTGTCATTCCAAGTCCAGGGGATCAGATGCCCTTTTCTGGCCTCTGTGGGCACTAGACAGACACTGGGCACTCACTCACATATACATACATGTTACGTACAGGCATCACTAAAAATAAAGCTTTTTTTTTAATGAAGGGAAGATAACATTTACTTGGATACGTTTTGAAATGGTATGTCACAAATGAGTGTTCAGCCTGCCCAGCAGATACCATTCTTGGCTTCACTTCTTGCTGCCTCTATCAGTAGGGGTTTAAATGCTAATATGCCCCCTTTAAAACAAAGGCATGCAAATATGCCTCAACTTCAAAAACAATTAAACTAATTAAGCCTGTATTTGGCTTTCAAAGCACCTTTAGGTTCATAGAATATTAATTTATGAATCTAAGAAATAGATGGGTTAGATAATTTTATTTACCTTTTAGATGACTAAAATCAAGGTATATAAAAATTCATGAATTGTTTAGCGGCCACGTGAGTTTATGAACAAAGAAGGGTTAATACAGCCACAAAGCTACTTGTGAGATTCCTTGATAGTTCCCAGCACTGGGCAGAAACATACTCAGAGGGAATAGATTGTTTTCTTTCCAAAAATTTGAAATGCCTTTTTGTACTCTACAGGCAAAGAAGTTTTTAAAAAATACCTTTATACTAGAGCATAATTATACGTAGAGGAGTTAGATATTAAAATTGATTATAACATAGCTTTTTAATAAACAAAAAGTGATTCCACTCATTATTGCCCTTCTCTTTAGTTGAAAGTGTATTTATTAACTCTTCCCAAAGCAAGACACAATATATAACGTAGTTGGCACAGTGTCTGACAGAATTGCAAGTGCTTGCAATAGCAGGTTTTTATTAGTATGCATACTTCATATAAGAACCGTTCATATATGTTTGAAATCAACCTTTTAAAAAGGTAAAAGTTGCATTAATCTTTTCTGTCAGCACTTGGCCCTATCCACAGTATATTATTTCTAGACTAGTCAAGGCTCTTCAACTTGCATTCTTAGCATGCCTTTGTTTTGGGCTCTTTGCCCTTAAGAGAAGCACACCTTGGCATCCAGCCAATTTCTAAGCATTCAGTCTCAACTACACACTCTGAGATTTAAAACCTTTGGGCATCTTTCCCCGAGGAGTGAGGCCAAATCTCCTGTATAAATTCACATGCCTTTATTTCTGGGCAGCTTTCACAAGGGAAGCCATGCCAGCAAGTAAATCAGACTCCAGTAGCAAGGGCCAGAGATCTGCTGTCCCTACTGCCTTTCCCCTTGGCCACAGAGAGCCAAATGGTCTGGTCCCCCCCAGGCCCAAAAGCATCTAATGTCTGGGCCTGTGAAAGTGACCTTATTCAGTAAAAGATTCCTTGTAAACATGTTTCAGTTAAACAGTTTAAGTTCAGAAGATGATCCCGAGGTATCTAGGTGGGATCAAACCATCATGAAAAGATTCAGAAAGGGACAGAGGGAATATACACCCACTGTCAGAGGGTAGAAGGATATGGCCATGGTGTGGGAGAAAGGTAGCCAGAAACCAGGAGAGGAGAGGAACCAATGGCCACTACAGCCTTGGATGGAGCATGGCCCTGTCTATATGTAGACTTCACTTCTGTATAACTGATTCTTGCCCACAAGAGCTATTACAGAACAAACTTCTAGTGTTTTAAACCATCAACTTTGTGGCAATTTATGGTAGCAGCGATGGAAGCTAGTACCCTATCTTAGTGACTTACCATAAGGAGCCCATGGGTACTACATTCTCCCTAAGGACAACAGACCATCAGGGACCACTATTTGCTAGACCTTTAAAGGTTCCCCCACAGTATGCACTGGAGCTTAATCAGCAGACACACTTACCTTCCCAGAAGCACACTCAGTTCCATCGAGTGGGGGCCCCTTCTTAGTCTTACAGAAGTATGGGTTATCAGGGTGGCTGCACCATAGCTGTTTGCACGGGTCAAAGGTTCGGAACTGGAAGAAAAAGAAGCAAACAATGGGTGACCTTTCAGACAGTGGGACCTTTGCCAACCATATTTTATACTTGTCATGTATACTTCTTCATGCCACAGTATTTGGTGGTGGGGGTGTTTTGATTTTAAGTCGATAGCTAAAGCGGTAACATGTCAAGAAGTAAGCACTGGCATTAGGGTTCCAAGTCTGGATGCTCTGTTCTGAAGTAGCAACGACAAGTGTAAGATGTCCACACTGTGCTAAGTACATTAATTACATCATCCCATTTCATTTCCAAATAAACTGTAAGAGTTTATAAATACATCATCATCCACAATTCAGACACTAAGAAAACTAAGCCAGAGATGTCACAGATTATACTCGAGTTCATGGATTTTGTGTCAGACCTGACAAACTCTGTCTGACATTCATTATCATAGGATCTAACTACTGAAAAGCAGAGACATAAACTAAAACCGCACAAAACAGAGCTCGATTTTATAGCCTAGAATAGTCCTGCACACGAGAAACAGCCGAATGAAGCCTGGCTTCAAACTCATCCTCCTCCTGCCTCAGTCTCACAAGTGCTGTGATTCTAGGCATGCACTCACACACTTTTCACAGTATTCCATTTGAGTTTCTTCTGATATATCAGGGTAATCATTTTCTATAGCCACAAACATAGAATACTAGCCATCATGCTACAGAGAAGCTCAACACCGACTCTGAAGGTAAGAAAAGGAGGGTGAGGAATGGGTAGCAGGTATCTGAGCTGGAGAGCCTTGGGCAACGTGCAGCTAGCTCCCTGTCTTACCAGGTATGAGTAAGTGCCCTGAGAAAGCTACACAGTCTTGGCTTTTCCATCCTAAAGATAAAAGCTTTGCAATCTTTCTGCCACCACTTCAATATATAATATGTATGTAAACATAGACACACACATAAACCACATACACACACATAAACACATACATTCACATACACATATATACACACTAATGTTTGTATCTGTAACAACAGCTGTAATTTTAGAAGAGCAAGGAGAGGTATTCAGGAGGCTTCTGGGAAGAAATGGGAGGAGGCAATGGTGGAATGATATTGTAATCTCAAAAAAAAAAGAAAGAATTATAAACTAAAACCCTTTGTGTATGTGCTCTCTCTCTCCCTCTATGTCCCCCCTCCCTCTCCCTCTCCCTCTCTTTTCTCTTCTCTTCTCTCTCTCTCTCCCCCCCTCCTTTCTTATCTCCCATGAGGATTAATTCGGGCTACGTACCCAAAACATCTAGTTTATCTCCATCAACATAGTAAACACAAGATAACCGTAGATATTTTCACACTTGTACCAGTAAGTTTGCAAAGCCCCCCCATCAGGAACTACACCAACAGGATTCAAGATAAGACAGCTAAGCTAACAGTGGGTCACATACCGCAGTGCACATTTTGTAGCCAACACCAAAATCAAAACGGCATTGCTCATCCATGGAATAATTAATTCCAGGAAGTTCTGGGAGTTTGGGCCAGTCGTGTTCAAAGGGGTCATCAAGGAGACAGTCATAGGAACTGCGGGAGGAAAACAGTTAAGTGCCTTTAAATTCTCAACGGTGAAATCAGATCTTAAAGGGAGAGGACTCTCAGCCCGAATTCTCTGGGGTTTTGTCAGCACATAGGGCAGGTTTCCAGAAATATGGATTTTAAGGATTCGGGTTCTAGTCTACTCATCTTTTATTTCTACTAATTCTGGGGAAGGGAACCAAGCACACCTCTGGGATACAGTGACGCTGCAGCGGCGTTACTCACGTCACCAAGTGACCCTACATGAAGTGTGGCAGTCTTGTACCATAGGACTTTGAGGTATAAAACAGGGTTAAAAGCAGGAACTAGATTAAACACCCCATCTCCATCCTCAGGACAAGTCTGACCACCAGTCACAAGGAATCCACCCCAAGGAAGCCCCATGACAGATAAAATTACACTTAATTTCTAGGCTCATGGCTTAACCAATTATATGACATTGGAGAATCTTTTGGGTCAACACCTCTGAGGTCATGTGTGTAGCCTATGTAGCAGGGCATGACATGCAGCGAGGCACATACTGGATGTATCGTTTCAGTTCCTGACCGCTGCATCTGGACCAGTGGTAGCGATGGAAGGCAGCCTGCACCAGGGGTGCCATGACGCTGCCCATGGCGGTCTCATCCCCACACCGGTTACCTTGCCCGTCATGCTCCATGCCCAACCTAGAACACAAAGGAAATCTCATGGGTAAGAATCACAGATCTATGGCTTGAACTTCCCTTTCTCACAACACATGCTGGGAAAGATATTTTTTCAAGTCAACATGGTTTCCTTGGAGACACCATGGACACTGAAATTGAGAGCAGTCTAATGAAATGCATTTCTTATTCTACAGCCATCAAAGGCACACAGGAGGGTTCAGCTAGACAGAGTTACTCATTGAGTTTCAGCGTATGACCCTTCACTGTTTTAAGCTCCTCACACTTGGCAAAGGATGAGAATGCATACTGGCATTCGCTTTTGCTCAAAGTGTGAACAACAGCGGAAAAGCTGTCAGCAGTGACTTACACATGGCCAGTTTCATGGGCTACTACAAAAGCAGATGAGAAACCATCTTCGTGATTCAGGGTGCAACTTCTCACTGGGTGACACATGCCCGTGACGGGAGCATATCCTGCAGATAATGACAATCGCTTTTATTTTCATTTATATACACGTATAAAAACTCATTATAATTAGTACTGGATCTTTGCCTAGAAACAAAAGAAGAAGCAGTGTCCCTATAAATAGGGGCAACATTACTTCTCTGTTACCAGTAAGCCACATTCTCTTGGGACAGCAAGAAGGGACTGCCTGGGGTTACCATGCTGTTATCATCTCAGCTTGTCTTTCTGTTTCACTAAATGACCCTTCATATCCTGGTTCTAATGGAAGGAGCCAGAAATCCCACCAATTCGGAAAAGAAAACCATCAGTCTTTCTCCACGCTCTCCATCAGAGTTTATTAGATAAATATAACCCGACTTTGGAAGAAAGACTGTCGGCAGGATCCACTCCCGTTCTGAACAGTTAGCGGAAATCACACTGTGTGTTATGGCCTCCCTTCTATACCCCGAATGGACAGCCATTATTTTAAAGACAAGTATAATTTACTATGGTGTTTAAGTGACACTAAACATTGTGGATTCTGCAAAAAGTCACTGGAAGAAACGAGGGGGGGGGGACGTACACTCGGCCTGGTGGATGGTGGAAAGTGGTGTGGCAGTAAGAACATTTGTACAACCTGCTTGACTTGGGATTTCAAGTGAAAAGCCGGGCCCTTAATTTTTTTGTCTACACAGTACTAGTAATACCTTGCATTCCAGCAGGCCCAAAGTCTTGCCTGGTTAAGAAAATTGCATGATCGTGGTGTTCAGCATGGTTGGGGTCAGGTTTTTGTTGCTGGCAAGCCCAGCGGCACACATTCTCCAGGCTCCTGGATGGGTTTCCCCTTTCGATGAGGCTGATGGACTAAATGAAGAGAAGATGTTAAATACACATTTTGTGATTTGGATTTTGATTCAGAAATATTATTTTGGGGATCAACTTTGATTCAGGAATTCTAAAAAGCCATAGAAGACCTTGTGAGGAGGTCACATGCTGCCTGTGGGAAAGTCCACAGACACACGCAGAGCAGTGTTGGAAGTCAGGATTCACTACTCTGCAGGGACTCGAGATTGACAATCATTTGGAGGGGAATTTTTAGAAGTCTAAGATATTTCCTGATTGTATTCAAATTTTAGGTTTTACACATTAAAGACAAATATTGGGAAAAATTCTTACATGAGACTTTTTCTAGAGATATGAAAGTCAAATATCTTAGTTAAAATTTTTGTGTATTCTTTTGGTCCAAAAATAATCTGTATGAAGGAGGAAAGTAAGTTCTTTCAAGATTTGGCAAAACTGGTCAAACTTTATACTGTATGGTGAACAGTCAAATAACATTAGCTTCACCTGGGGGTGGGGAATAGCTTTTTAATCTCATGATAATGACAAGGTGTAGTCTCTTATCTGGTGACTTTAGTGGAAAAAAATACACATACATACACACACATATGTGTATATATATATTGTTTCACATTGCAGTCTGGAGTTAAAAAGTTGAGGGGTAAAAGGTTGAGGAGTAAAAGAGCCCATCCCTTAAAAAACACAGTGTTTATCATTTCTAAAGGGTTTCTAACAGAAAGAGAAATTGAATTTGGAATCCAAAATGAGTTCCTAATTGGGTAAAGGACCCAGAGTTTTGTTAAATTTCAGCAAATGCTATTATCAGTGTTTACATTTTTAATAAACTTAGCGTGGTCTGTTATATGCTAATCATACACTTCACCAAACAAATGATCAGCTGAAGGCTGTTAAGACTTCCAGCTGTGGTTAGCTTGTTCCTTCCTAACAGGACAAAGTACAGCAGGCTTTTGGGAGAAGGTAAAGATCAAGGAGAGCCTCTCTGTAGATGAGGACATGTTGTTAGTAGATGGATAAAGAAACACAAGCTCACAGAGACAGAGATTTGTTTCCCAAATGCACAAGTTCACCAGTGTTTCCTCACCAGGAAGATTAGTGATGGGAAGGATTCATTATTGTAAACATGAACACTGGCAAGGGAGTCAGGCTTCTCAAAGGAAGTTAATTATTTCCAAGGATAGGACCACATCTAATATTGATACACACAGGTTTTCCATTATATGGCAAGAATGGTTACTGTATGCATTTTGATTCAACTTTCTGTTTTCAAAAAGATTAAAACTTCTTTAACTGAAAAAAAAACATGGTGCTTCACTTTTAAACATATTTTAAATACTGTTTTAAATAAAACAAAAGATGTTTCTGTTTTCTTCATGGACATATTCCAAGTGCTTTGAGAATAACTACCATAAAAAACAAGCATTTCACATAGACACAGTGAATTCATATACAGGTCACAAACCTCATGCTAACAGGCAAAGAGCATTTTCTTTTTTCTTAATGGCATCTGTCCATGTTCACTTACTTATTCAGTCACACCTAAAGTCCTGCTAACTGGGTCTCGGATGTAGCTCAGTTCATAGTGTTTGTCTAGTGTGCAAGAGATTCTTAGTGAAATCTCTAGCAGATTATACATTGGGCATGTTAGTACATGCTTATAATCCCAACATTTAGGAGGCAGAGTTAGGAGGATCAGGAGTTGAAGGTCATCTTTGACCTCATAGGGAGTCTGAGGGCAATATGAACTGTATGAGACCTGCCTCTAACAAAAAGTTGCTCTAATTTAACATTCTCTTCTCATTCTTGAAGATTCTCCTCCCCTGCTTTATAACCATGAGTCTACAGAAGATTGAAAGTAGTTTTACCACCCAATCTCTTACTGGCTAACTTAGTCTTAATGTTTACAGACCACACATTTTAAGGTATTTTACCTTTGCATAACCGAGCATAATCATTCGTACCAAGACCACATTGATATGCACTCCAAGGGACTCATCGTGGTAGATTTCATTTACCTGGAGACAAAGGAGATGGTTGCTACAAGAAAGGCAATGCAAAGGATTTCAAGACACATGCAACATTTAAGAGATCAGCTATGCCAGTCACAAGTCCTCTACAGATTCGGCACCTTATATAGTTTTTAAATTTAGCCTAAGGCAATCTTCAAAATGAAGTAGTTTATCTTTTGTTTTGGAGCAACCTTTGGATACATGAATTATTGAGTTTTTCAAAACTACAGAGAAAAAATTAACATAGACATGTTAAGAAAAGATTTATTAACAAATTGTGTGTGCGCGCGCGTGCGTGTATGCCCACGTGCATGCAAAGGTTCACATTTGTGTATGTGCCTACACAAACACAACACTCACCTAAAACAAATTTAAAAAAATATAGCTCTGGTAATTTTCTGTCCTCCTGTGAGTGGCCACAAGACATTGGAAGAAGACAGTCAATAGCAGGTATGCCCACATGCCTTGGTTGAGGAATTTCTACATAGATACTCTGGGGGTCTATCTCTGAGACGGCAAGTATGTAGCTTTCCCAGCATCCTCTAGGACAGAGGAGCTGTGCCAATGCTTTTTTAGAAATACTGTGGGATAGATACCTTTCAGAATATGCATTATTAAGGCTACTGTACAAGTGCTTATTAGAGATGTCAGTTCTGAACTCAACTCTGAAGAGCTCAACTGATTCCCATATCATTATTTCATTTTTAAAGTTAGGCTAAAATCTCTCAGAAATGATTTTGTATACTTTAATAGTACAGATGTTGGAATTAGAGCAATTTTAGGTCGCAGCTCAACTATGCTTCATACAGAAAGGATGATGAAGCCTGTAGACCGTTAGTGACAAGCTAAACCACACAGTGTGTTACTGGCAGACAGGAATCTAAAGCACACTGTAATTATATCTTCTGATTAAGCTACTGCAAAGTGAGTGCAAAGAAACTCTGTCTAACTTGGCAAATGCTAGCAGGAATGACAAAGGCAGCGTTACCTGGCTAGATTCCAGTTACGAGTTATTCCCCAGAACAAGGGCTCAAACTTCTAACAGAAACTAAGAGAGAGATGAAAACTAACCACAATTTTGCTTGAGATCCAGGAGGTTTGGATGGCAGGCTTAGAAAATCTAAAAGCTGCTGAGAAGAGTATAAAGCCAGAAAATACAGAACATTCAATAATCATTGAATAAAACTCATGCATCAGGGTACTCTGGCTTGCCACGTTAGACTTGCCACACCTACCAAGAAACAGGCCAAGAAATCTCTAGTTAGATGTTTCAAGACTGTAGCATGACTGCATGGAATAATTTCAACACTATAGACCTTAAATTGATGGATGGCATACTATGTATTCAGATTGTACACAGCATTTACAAAGCTACCAAAGATGGGTGTAAAAGGTCAATCTAAGGTAGAAAATAATAAAAAAGATAAAGTATATTCTAACAAGAAAGGCTTTATGGTACTTTTATGTGGAAAATGCATATATATGCATATTCATTCATTAGAATGATCCAGCTAAGTTAAAAAAAAAAAACTACTCTGTGATGAACCCTTGTATTGCCCAGGAGTACAGGCAGGTGACCCATGGTCTGGTTGGCTCACTATAGGCTAAAGGACACCCAAAGTATTGAGCTCACTGTGTACTGACATATAAGGGAACTGGTCAACAAAACATTCAAAAAAGTAACAGAGACCAAAGAGCCCAAAAAAATGTGTCATATACAGAATGAGTTGGGAGATGCCGTGATTAAAGACACCAGACATTAAATCTCTCAGATCACATTGCTTCAAAATCCCTCAATGCCTAGCAACTTGAGGAAAGCAAGGAACAGCCTAAGGTGAGTAGCTAGTGATGCCACTGGTGACCATGGTGGAGTCCCAGCCTGAACTGCTACCAGGGGTCACCTCTGAGTTAGTGGCCTACAGCAGCAGGGGTCTGTTACCACCAAAGGCCAGGATGGCACCCCTGGTCTGGGCTACTGCCCTGGGGACATGTTGATGTCTGAAAGCTGTGTAAAACTTGCCCCAGCCTTCACCTGAGCATCATGGGAGAGCTGGCCCTGGAGGCATGAGAGCAATCTCCCCTGCAGTGGTGTCGATGATAGTGAGCTATCTTCCTCCTGCCTCTCCCTTCACCACCTTGCCCCTCACCATCTACAGCACTGGGCAGACTGGGTCCTACACCCTGCCTGAGCAGCACAATATCTCTGACTCTGACAGTGGAGGAGATAGGGCAAGATAGAATGAGGATGAGAGCATGGGAGAGCTGGCCCCACCACTTGTCTGCAGTAGTATGGTGACATGGGTGAGGGAGAAATGTCCCCCATCTAACTCCTTGCCATCTATAGCAGGCAAGAGAGCTGGCTCTGGGATCATCAGAGTGGGAGAGCTGGCCCTGCCACTCATCTTGGTAGCACAGTAGAGCTGTCGCTGGGTATGGGGGTTGCAGGTGAGCTGGCCCAAGGATTTGATGCTCTCCTCCATTCCCTTGTCCCTCAGCATCTATAGCAGGCTGAAGAGCCAGCTCCCTGGATCACAAGAGTAGAAGTACTGTCCCTGTCTCTTACTGGCTACAACATTTGGGAGAATGGGCCCTGCACCTCACCTGGGCAGAGCGTAGAGCTGGCCCTGGTTTTAGGGATTGCTGTTGAGTCTGCCCTGAGGGTTTGAAAGTGGGAGAGCCAGAGGGATGGGCAGCTCACATACCTCTCAGGCACAGATCCAAGGCTTTGAATTGGCCTACCCCATTAATGAACTGCTGGAGAGCACGAAGAAGCCAGGTCCTACAGATCCAAAACTATAGGATCTCCATGACACAGGGAAACAACAGGATATCTGAGAGGAGTTCCAGGAGCCAGAGGCCTTGTACCAGACCAACAAGTCATTTCAATGAACATTTGCAGGCAAAGGATTATGGGCAAAAAGATATACTGTAGGACATACTGTGACACAATGAGACTTTTTTTTCTATGTTGGGGTGGGGCCCTGTGAGGTGCAAAGCCCTGGATCTTACCCAGCATTCTTCTCAAGGATCAAGAAAGTTGACTCCTATATACAGTTCACTTTTAATATATGCTTAGTAATATGTCAGCTTTCCACCTCCTCATGCCTGTCAGTGCTAAGGTACAGTGTTGTCACACCGAGACACACACAGGACAAGAACAACTGGAGGAAGAATGAGCAAGGCTCTGTGGGGGTCATATGTTCAAAGTCCTGGATTCTGGTTCCAGCTTTCCCACAACAAGCTAAGGGACTTTAGAATGGTTACCTAACCACTCTGGACCTCAAGTTTCTTGGTGAAAAATTGTAACCAGAGTTGTACTGCTTGTCTCAAAGACTGGTTGTTCGAATCAAGCAAGACGGCACACCTCTATCCTCTACCAAACGCCAAATCCTTTCCATACTCAACTAATTGTATATGGGGAGGTTTTATGAAAACCTATGCTCACAGTCCATCTTTTCTCAAAAAAAAAAAAAAAAGCAAATGTCCCATTGGACTTGTAAGAGAATTTTAAGAGGCTTTAATTTGAATTTGATACATGTTAATCAAGTGGAAGGTGAAATTCATAATTATCAAGGAAATTTCTGGAAAATCTCATTGCCACGCAGTTTGTCTCAGAGGTGGTAGAGATCTGTCAGCAGATGGCACTGTGCACTCTTGGGATAAGAGAAGGACCAGTTGTCTGCTCCCTACACCTCCAAAACACCTACATCCCCAGCTGGCTTGTGGGCCTCCCCATGTTTACCCACAAATACACACCTCCCACTAAGCTAAACAGAAGTTTCAAAATAGCATGAGAAAAATCTTGGTTTGAATGACTACTTATTCGAATCCTAAAAGCAAAGCAAAAATATTGGGAAGCTCTTATTTTGTGTGTGTGTGTGTCATCTGTTTATAGTAGTCCATAAGAGGCCTGAAGGCTCACCCTCGTGAGCTTCTTATCTTTACCATGCAATAAACACAGTATAGAAAGAACTAAGAGTGTTTCACACTGAATTCCCAACTTCACCCAATCAGAGGGGACTAAAATAATGTTTGTAAAGACAATAGGTTTACAACTTTTAGTGACAAAGAAAGCGTATGTCCCCAAGTAAAAGCAGCACCATCAGGATCCACTTGAAACACTTAACACCTTTCTAGATGTGAGACATTGTTGTATATATGTCAGCCTGGATGAAATCAAATAATCCTTGAGACACTTACAGATATCACCTTTACTTTACAGCTAAGAAAACTGAGACCCAGAGTTGTTAATTTTCTGAATGCCCACAATCACAGTGCAGGCTAAGGGTGTCAATCTGGGCACTTTGTTTCCCCATTCAACAGATTTAAACATTTTACTACACCTCCAAACACATAAATCATGGCATGGTAGGACAGATTAGAGTAGCAGCAATTCAGTAACTCAACATTCATTTGTTTTGGTTACCTTTTTCCAGCTGAATTTTAAAGAAAGGGGAAGATAGATTTATTACAAATAATAATTTCTTTTTTTCATCACAACAATGATGTACTAAAAGTACTGGAAAGATAAAGGCCAGGAAAGGTGAGCAAGAAAAAAAAGGGTGGGGTGTATAGTCAGTGTTGGGCATAAGAAAAGCACTAAGTATAGATATTGCTATAAGTCATGCATTTGACAGATGTAACGCTGATCAAAATGTCACCCATAGTGCCAACCTACTGGGCTCTGGACATGTTCAATGAGGAGTCAGGGTTGAGCCCAGAGTCCTCATTAAATGACCTGAAAGAAAGGGTAAACAGAATATTAATTCAATTTTCAGATGGCCTTGGCTTTGATGAAGTTGCCAATGATATAAAGAGGGCAAAAAAGGCAGAAATCCAACCAAGTATCTCTTTCCTTGAAAAAAAAATTTCTTCCAGGTTTGTTCCCGGTCAGAACAATTTCTCCAGGGCATTCCCCTGGCAGGACAGCCTGACCTTTGTCTGACTAGCTGATGAACAGCTTTGTCTGGCTTCAACAAAGAGACACTCATTTTTCTTCCAGGTGA